AGGTGCAATAGCTACAGCCTCAAATGGTTTTGCGGCACCGGTACCATGGAATTGTATTGATACCATAGAATTTGCATTGGCTTTTAATATTTCAAGGCCTTTTCTCTTGGTAATGTACAGGACTTGCCCCTGGTGATTTCTTCCATGTTATTGGGGATGCTCGTGTTTGTAAATTTCACATTAGTCCTCTCCAAGAGCAACTTAAGAGACTTCCTAGACATTTTCCAGTAAGTAGAACCAAGTAAGCTTAATATGAAATTAATTAACAAACTACGTTTTTCTTATTGATTTTATTTTTCAAGTATCCATTTCTATAAATAGAATATGGATCCCCATGTATAGAAGCTCTAAATATGGTAAGTTCCTTTTTTTGTTCTGTTTCTCAATGCAATGCAGATTTTGAAGATCAATCCTGAGAAGAAGGATATAGGTTCCTTTGTGGTCACTGACTTCAAGCTCATGGACTATGATCCTCACCAAAAGATAGAGATGGAAATGGCTGTATAGGTAAACCTATGTCACTAAATCTGGTATTAGAAAGAGGGCTTTGGGACCTATACCATGTGATTAAGGAAATTTACTTCTTCACGTCCTATTTGTACTAGTTTGTTCCCAAGCATTTCAACATAAGAAGGTACATCTTCTTGCAAAAGAAATCGCAGGGCCAATTGGGGATTGCCAATGACCCCTTTCTTCAACAGGCAGAAGCACCCCAGAAAGGATAGGCTCTAGGTTCAGCCARCCATCCTACCATTATCCGCCATGTGAATAAGGATTTGTTCTGTTGTATGAATATGTTCTAATAAAAATGGTGTTTTGTTGCCTTGTGCCCTTCTGTTTTTCAGTTTTGCGAGGGGATTGATGTTTAGGAGTGTCAATGGATGGGGTTTGGGTTGGACCTGTCCGAAACAAAATCAGTTTGAAGGGGTTGGATGGGCCAATAAGATATATTAAATTGGATTAGTCCAGATTTAATGATCCAAAATAATTTATAGGATTGGACCTGGTCCATCTGTAATGGATTATGTTGGACTGGTTTGGATTGAACCAATATTCAGTCCATTAAGAGAAGATAAAATCATAAAAGTATAGTGTGAATGGACTAGTTTTGAGTTGGACCTAATCTAAATTAAAACAAATTTAAACAGACTGGACGGTTCAAACATTGAATTGGGCCAGTCCAGAATGGTCTAAAGTATTCATTGTATTGGATTGGACCTGTTCCATCTGCATCATATTGGACTGGGTTGGATTGGGCTAATATCTGGTTCATTGACAGCCTATTGATGTTTCAGGTTTGTTTTTGTCATCCAATTCCTTTTTTATGGTAATGTAGTAATCCTAACAATGTTCTYGGAAATACAATGGCATCTCATTTTATATGATAAAAAAAGGAGAAAATTTCCAATGGGTACCCTGTACTTTAGGCTGAGTGCCAATTTAGTACCCTAACTTTAAAATGCAACAATCTAGTACCTGAACTTTCATTTTGCGACAATTTAATACCCGGCGTTAATCAGCTGTTAAGTGGCATGCAAAAAGACAAAAATGCCCTTCAAGTGTCATCTAATTTTTTTTTTTATCAACCATCCGGTAAAACCAGACTGACAGTGCTGCCTATTCATCGTCTTGTCTCTCCTCACTCTTTCCTCCTCTCTGCCCCTCTAATTTGCTAGTCTAAGAATGCTTCCATGGATTCCTTGCTTGGGTTGCTCCATGAGGATGATAAGAACGTCCTGATCGCTGTTGCACAGGGTGTGGTTCCAATTCTTGTTCAGTTACTGGATTCGAGCTCCCTGGAAATAAAGGAGAAACCAGTTGCGGCGATTTCGAGGATTTTCGTGTAAAAGAACCCTTGCAATTCTGAAAGCTTTCGAGTTTGGGATTCATGGGTTCCAGAGTTACAACATGATTCTTCATTTTCATGATCTTTACGTTATTGGCATTGCCACGATATATGCTTGCAGATACTGCTCACCACCTCACCCCCGCCCGAGATCACCAAAAGCCCCCCATCGCAACATGGCAAAGAGCGACGTACACTAGTTTAATTCACGTGGTGGGCGCCAAATCCTAAAACAAGTTGAAGAATGTTACCAAGCTAATAATCACCACCATATTATAACATCATGAAAGGCTTCGTTATACCAGAGACTAATACATACCTGAAGCCTGCCTTGACACCACTATGGCTCAGGAGGTCATTCTTGATTGTAACACATCAACCTTCCATAGAGGTCATTCTTGATTCCGCGAAAAGGGACGAAGGTCTCTTCCATCTTGTTTGGCAACTCAGTCAACTGGGTAGTCTTTCTTCAATGGCTCACGAGAAAGAAGGGTGACATTAGAGGGACCGGTGATCTAATATCTGGATAAATTACATTATTTGAGTATTGCAGAAGGTGAGAAAGTGCAATGCTAACAAACACTGAACAGAGAAGAGTAGATTTGTATTCAGGGAATACAAATAATCATCAAGCCAACAACAGAATTAYATAATCCAATCCCATCGAAAGATTCTAGCTTGTTCTCAACCAGACAAACCAAGCCCTAAGACCCACAAATAGAAGACAGAAAATTTAAAAAGGCAAGAACACCGAATGATAACATACAAACAGGTTAATAATTTTGCTTGCATTGAAGTTGTTCTTCAAGACAATGTGAGCATAGGGGAGGTCAAGAGGAAAGCTCCATATATATAACCTCGAAAAGGGTTGAAAATGGAACTGTAGATTCGATGCAGAGAATGCAATGTGGGTCAGAAGGGAATAAGATGAATCAAGGAAGTTCAGTGGCAGTGCCCAACAGAAAACACAAATTTAGAAATTAGAAATATAGAGCTAAAAGGAAAGAAAAAAGAAAAAATTAAGAGATAAGAACAAATTAAAAACAAGAGGCTCAAAGTAAGTAATGGCAATGTCGTAGACCACATTACTTACTTTTTTTTTCGTGTTGTTAAGTCATTTTTTCTTCGTGCTGTGGAGAGAGAGAGAGAGAGAGAGAGAGAGGGTGCCAATCCATAACAAGCTGGCGTATGTGAACCTTTTTGAGAAATGGAACAACTTCTCTAGAAGTAGAAAAGTGGAATCTCTGTTAGTACCCTCCTTCAAGAGGTAGCGGTGGTCTTACACCACCTTTTGGAGGTGGAAGTGGACTTCCAGGGACAAATCCTCCACCTTCAACCAGTCCGACATGCCCGATCAACGTGCTGAAATTAGGGTTGTGCTTCGATGTTCTTGGCGGGTTGGTGCACGTTGGATTAGCTAGAGAACCCAATSGAAAATGCTTGCTGTTCAGTGCTTGGAGGTCTGCTAGAGCTTGAAGCARCTGTTTGCCTCTCTTTCATTTTCTTGAGAAAGAAGATGATGAACAATGTATAAGGGTAATTTTGACATTTTTAAAAGTCTTAAATCACAAATGAGGTCACGTGATATACATAACTGAAAATTCATTAATGGTAGGTAATAGATTGTCGTAAAATGAAAGTTCGGATACTAGATTGTCGCATTTTAAAGTTTGGGTACTAAATTGGCACTTGGCCTAAAGTATAAGGTACCTATCGGGAATTTTCCCAAAAAAACACAATTTGAATAATCGGCATTGACAGAGAAATTTATTTTGTAAGAAATAAAAAGGAATGAAATATGAAATTTTAATTTGAGATCCTAGTTCATGATATCTATATCTATATCTATGTATCTCTCTCTMTATATATATATAGATCAAGGCACTTGTTTGCGCCGGCGCCACAATGGCACTGGCATCATTGCTTCTAATGAAATCAAGGAACTTCTTTGCATTATTCCTTCTCATTAGCCAGATCGGACCCAGACCGAGATATACTTCTTCCTCGTGGGACCAGTCAAAAAACCCAACCACTTCCTCGTCCAAGCCCAAAAAGAAGAAGCTTGCCAGCCACCAATGAAATCCAGCAGAAGATACCTTATACAGGATTCTTTCAAGAAATGGATGTGCTCCAGAGTTTGTTGAACTTAAACAAGAAAATGCGAAGCAAAATGGTAAGTCCACCCTCACCCACCAGCCTATGTATGTAATGGAAGTAGCCTCATCTGTTCGTTGTATGCTGATTTAACAAAGGATTCTCCAACCTAGCTATAAGATTTGATCATTATGAACCAGAGAACAAAATCTACATGTCCATACTTCTCTTTGGACTTGTTTTATTTTCTTGGGGTTGAGTAAACAAGGGAACTGATGATGTCTCATCGAATGGGAGAAGTACGGACAGACCCAATGCAGATTTCTAATTTCTACTGTAAAGCTATAAACATTTAAATGGCAACAACACACTCTATGCATCAACGCCCACCTGTGAATTGACATCAATTCTGAGCTGACACCTACCCCAACAATACTTTGTGCCTATAAATTCTGACCCTGGGCTGAACTGTCTTTCTCCCAACAATTAAATGGTCAGTAGTTCCAGTTGGATTAATCAATTATCATCAAAGCCCTAATCCCCTTTTTGAAGTTCCAAAAAGAATTATGAAGCAAAATTGCTGAGTGACAGTTTAGCCTGGAAGAAAAAACAGGCTAGCAAATTAAATGGAAAATGATGTCAAATGGATTGAAGATTCTGTAATTCTCCAAGTGCAATGCGTGACATCAATGATAAGGTATTTCGATATACCTTTTGGATGATAGATGTTTTGCGCTAAGTGAGAGAAATAATTCATTCAAATGAATATATTCAATGGTTTGACGGCCATGGTTGTAGCTATAGCTAGTGCTTCTTTGTTAGCGGAAATAAGGGAAATTGGGAGATGTTGCTAGATTGAGGGCAAATATGATATTTTATGATTTCTTTAAATGACACTCTAGGGATAACTTCATAAATGTATACAATTTTTGCCTGGGTTATGATTAAATTTCTCAAAAGTTCAGGAGTGGTATTTGTTAATAAAGAAACTATAGAAGCGATTTTTATAATTGCCAGAAACTTCAGAGTTGAGAGGAGGCTTTTGTGATTCTCAAAAATTCAGGGGGCAGCTAGTTTTATCTTCGCAAGCCCTCAACCATTACGGAGTATCGAGAGCAACCTCTGAAAAAGCAGAAAGCCTAACAATGGAGACCCTGCAGCACGGAAGTGGGGCGCCCGCGCCTCCTCATGCGACTCACCACCATATGTATAATCATCCTTTTCTCTTCTGCCCTCACCACCACTGTCACCACCACCACCACCACCACCACCACCACCCGTTTTGTAGGCCGAAACCTCACTGTGGATTTCACGTGCTTCCTTTCCACCCATTCTGCCACATCCATTTACGCCCGTGCTTTTCTTCTCCTCCTCCCTTTTTTCCTCTCCCTCTTCCTCTTCCTCTTCCTCCGACACTCTCGAGATTAGTCTCTGAAAAACCTGAACCAGGGTATTCTCTTTCCATTGTAGACAATCAGAAGGTTGTTGGTTCGGAGTCTAAAGAAGCTTACGATTCAGGAGCACTGTAAGTGGGTTCCACCGGGTTTTTCTTTTTTATTTCTTCAATTTATTWATTTAGGCATATTCTTTTAGTTTTCCAGTGTCTGAATTTTCGTGGGCTTGGTTCCTTTGAGACGGTTGTTGCAATCAGTTGGGTTAATTGGGTTCATTTTGGTTTGGATTTTGTGGATAAGATGTGGATTCAGTTTGTATGTGGTTGTAATTTGCAAGTAAGATTGAAGTGTTTATACATGATTGGTGATCCTCATGATGATTTTGGGTTGCATTTGCTTCGGTTGGCATTTACAATTTCCTTTTTTTTTTTCAAGATTAGATGTTGCTTTAATATGCGGAGTTGATAAATTTATTGTTTTCATTTCGAAATTGAAGTAGATGTTTGATGAATCAAKTAATATTGCACAGCCAACAAAAAAGACTAGAAGTTAATTGTCAGTATTTCTCAAGGAATGATTTTGTTTCTATTATAAGTTATAACTTTTTTTCTGTTAATTAAAAATTTTATTTATCTAACTAATGATAAGGTGCATTGAGCTGTTGTAATGGGTATTTTCCAATAAGTAGGGGACAAGAGGACTTGATGGAAAAATTGGAAGAAGAAGAAGAAGAGGAAGAACCTGTGTTTGTAATGACTGATGAATGGATGGAATTCTTTGCAAAATCTGAAGCAAAAAGGAGACAAGGTGGTTGTTCAACCCTCCTTTTGAACATACAAAATCTATTGAATGAGTTCTTGACAATTATATGTGATTCTAATGCACAGAGAAGAAGCAAGCAAAGAACAAAGGCAAAAAGTGACAGACATTCTGAAGCGAACAAGGGCTAAAGGTGACCATGGGAGATACAGTCCATTTCTTATTCTGGAGTCATGATCAAGGATTCCATCTTTTACTCATCCTTATGATGTAAATTTTCTTTCTTTAGTTCTAGTTGTTAAGCTTGTTAATAGGGCTATTACAGCCAAAAGTTCCTTGTTTCTCAAAAGCTTTCAATGCCTTCACCCTAGTTTTTCGAACAGATGTTATTTTTTAAGTAGCTCAATCATGTAAATTCAAAATTGTAATGAAAAAAAAAAATGTTTATGCTATGAATCCATTGTCACTTGTATTCATCAATTTGATTTCATTATGATTAAAGRAAATTTACTATTTTCAATTGGTTAATTGAAGGTAATTTATTAGGACCTTAAATTCTTGTTTATAGAAAATGCTGCATTACATCAAACATATAGGTGATTATGACTGTAGTTTGATATATGATGAAAAAGAAACTATGATGGTAAATACATGATTCTTGATTTGAAAAGATCTTGCTTATTAAAGGTGCTAAACCAATCTCTGTAAATTTCCTTTTGGGGGTGTGATAAGAGGGTTTACCTCCCCCCACCATTGTATTTTAAACTTTTTCTTAATTAATGTAAGTTTTCTGTTACTGATCCAAAAAAAAAAGGTGTTAAACCAATTTGGATATGATATGCTRTGATTGTCACACATGCTTTATTGATCTACCTCATTTCCACTTGTCAGAAGGATATTTCTATTTCTTTGTATTACACAAGTGAGCTATTTTGACTGGGATGTTTCATTAGTTAGTAGCAATTCTGTCCTTAAAGACCTTCATACATATATATATATATAGGTTGTGGTGTTTGGTTGCAGCTATAACTATATTACTAATATTTATTAAACTACCCCTTTATTGAAGAATGTACAGAACTTTTGGAACTACTGGAGGTGAATGGATCTTCTGAATAAAAAAAAAACATTCAACTTCTGCTGCAGTTGCTTGGGATCCCAGAATATAACCATGGTTTTAAAAGGGACAGAGGCAAGGTGCTGAGGCATACGCCCCAAGGCAAGATGGAGCCAAGCTGCCTTGCGTCAGGGCCTTGTGTGTGTGGCTAGAGACTTATGCCTCAAATTGTGTGAGGCGTATATCTCACTGCCTCATGCCTCAATTTGGTGAGGCTTGGTACACCTCATCTGAACATCACCATATTTGTCAAAACAAGACAATTTGAACCCAAAAATCTCTCACAGTATCTTTTCTAGCCCACTGTATGTATTAAACTACCACATGTGAGTATGGATTGCTCCTAGTGCATGATGTCGACCTAGTCTATTGTTTGTTTTGATTCCATTCAACCTTCTATGCCTAGAGTTCTTACAAAAGTCTCTATCCTTCCTTCTTCTACACCTTTACCAATTTCAACAGTGTCTACCACCTAATGCATCGTGCTACTTCATTTTGGTCTCAATTTCAATCTAAAATCATTTCATTCTGGATGTCTTGATATCTTGAGATTTTGTCTTGATTTGCATTTTCTAAAAGGTTAATTACTTAAAGTACCCCTAAGGTTTCAAAACCTACTTCAAGTACCCTTAAATTTTTACAAATTCCACCCCTCCATTAATTGCCCATCACATTCTGTTTGCATGTAACATCATGTGACTCTTTAAATTTTTCTAAAACCCAATTTACTTGACTGATGTGGAAAAAATGTAGATTTGGGTTTGGGTTTTAAATTTCAGGTTAGAAGAAAATGATCTATTTCAGTCTCTTACAACTGAAAGCAAGCCCAGAATGCCTAAAACCCGAATCTCCAGTCCTAGGGCTGTCAATGGGTCGGGTCTGGGTTAGAACCAGTTGGAACCAGAACCGTAACTGACCCAACATGAAATGTCAAGGACCCGGACCCGATAGGGTTTGTAATTTTTGGACCCAGAACCGAATCAATTGGTTCCTGTGACAATCGGGTCTGACCCGGTAGACCCGATTATAATAAATAAAAAATACTTATGTTTAATATATAAATATCAGGTTGGATCTGAATCGACTCGGGACAACGTGGATCCATTTCTGAACTGATAGTAATTGGGACCCTATATTAGGACTCGGAACCGATCCACCGGTTCCAGTTCCCGGAATCAGAACTGACCCAATCGGTTTGAATCTGTTGGGTTGGACCCGACCCATTGACAGCCCTATCCAGTCCTCAAGTGAGGAACAGAGCAACCCCAAACAAGAACAGACTTCAAGGCCATGAAACAAGCAGCTATGCCTCAATGCAACTTAATGAGAAACCAGCTCATTTGGGAGTCTCAGGGGAGAGTAACCCATAAGTATGGCATTTCCAGATCCATCGTAGCCAGACTGGAGGAAAGAAGGAAAGGGAGTGCAAGAAAATTGACTCCTGTACTTGAATTTGGCCTCTCCAATCCTGCTTTGTCACCCAGGTTGTTTTTGGCTTTCCCCACTAAATTCATTGAGTTGGGGATTACAGAAATTGACTTCCTTAGCTCTGAGCTTGACTCATCTCATGACAGAATGACCCAAGAAGAATCGAAATAAAAAAAAAAAAAAGAAATTTATAATATCTGTACCCCTCCTCAATTGATATTGGAGAGAGCTTTAAATGCTAAAAAGGAAAATGAAAGTTTAAGAAGGGAAAAATCTCTTTTTCAACAAAGATCGTGGAAGCTCATTCTATGAAAGCTTCAAATTTCAACACTAGTAGGATAAACTTTGATGCCTCTCGTTCTTGTAACGGGAGGTATCCTATTGCAGCTATTGCAAGGAATCGTCGTGGTGAGGTTATGGACTATAAAGCTTACAATTAGGGGGCTATTTTATCAATCAAGCTGAGGTTTGGGAGTTGATAATTTGACGACGAACTTCACTAACAATTACATCTCACTGATGCGGTTAAACGAAGATATTCATTATAGGCACTTGTTTGGTTTGGTTGATTACTTGATTTTAGTCGAATAATATTTCGGATCCTTCAAACCTTGGAAAAAGTAGGAAAAGGAAGGGAAATGTAGCGAAACGTTACAAACCTTGTATGGGTTTCCTATGAAAAAGAAGTGAAAGGAAGGGAAATGTAGCAAAACGTTTGTATAGCATCAAAGAAAAAAATAAAATAATGACCTGGAAGGACAATTCATTTGTTTTGGAACATGTGGTCTATAATGAAGAGTTTGAGAATRGAATATGACGGACATGCAAGAAAAATATTATCCAACATTAGCAGATAAATTTATGACCGATTTTAAAGACATGAGACAGCTTATAAAAAATTACAAAGATAGCCTAAATTAGCCCAAAAAAGTTGATCCCTGTACACCCCTTGTTTTGCCAAAGTATCTGTCATTACATTTGTTGTTCTCTTAACCCACTTGAAATCAAGGATTAAAGTATCCGTATCAAATATCGTATTGGACAACTTGGATACATATATATTTTAGAAACGCATCGATATGGGCAAAAAATTATGGATATACTACGAAAATTCTACAAATTCCATAAATATATTAATAACTCTAAATTTAATGTCAAAATAGCCACAAACAATGTATAAACACATAGGAAATGTATATTTTAATAGTATATATAAAAATATATTACAATTAATATAACGGGATACATAGAAATCATAGAATTTTATTATAATTTTATTGATAATGCATCAATCAAGAGTCCAAGACACATGTTATATAGATTTTTAAAAATTAAAACATGCACAAAACTATTATTATTTTATTTCCTATTAAAGTCCAAGGCACAAAACACACAACTATTATATTTGAATTATTATGTCAATTATTTTCTATTTTACTATTTTTCATTTGACATTAACAAAAAGGTCAATTAAAATATTAATTCTCAAATGTTTGGTAAACAATATTTTTATTTTCAAAATCATTTTAATTTTCAATTGAAATAAATGTAGATTAGTGGATTTAAATGTTTTATAGTTTAGAATGTTTTATAAATAATACTTTTATTTTTTTGTAAATAATAAATGTGTTTTTATTTAATTAAAAATTAAAATATTAATTAATAATTTATAAAAATTTTAAGATAGATATCATGTGCAAATATTAAAATAATTACTCTATTATTAATATTTTTATTTATATGAATTTCTTGAAATTAAAAATCATTTTTTGATATAAACATGGATTTGATAAATTTTATTCTATTGGTTTATACTAATTTTGAATATTATTCTTTTTAATTTATAATTGGATATAAATATCAATTATTTGTTTAAATTCTATGTGAAGTATGGATATTGAAGTTAATAAAAGTTAATTTATTTCATTTATGAGCATAAAATGAAAGGTAACTTAGCGGTTAAAGGTGTGTTTAAGGCTAGATGGTGGACAACTTGGATTCGAATTAYGCAACCTCCATTTTTAAATAGAGTGATGCCTATTGTTGAATTAGCATCTGATATAGCTTTGTATCGATGTGTATCAGACTATATTAATCGATACTATGTGATACACAAAGATATGGTGACGTATCGAACCGATACGCACGACTGGCAAGATATACCTCTAGTTGTAATGTATCCTATATTGTTACCATATGATACTAATAAGATACACCTAATGGGGCATATTGTACCATTACTTTAAACCTTCATTGAAACATGCCTCAAGATCCTTCGCTAAGCTCTATTTCTCTAATTCAACTATTTAAACTTCCACACACCTAGATTGTTGTCATCCACCCAAAAAATTACCAATTTTGAATTACCTTCTATCTTTAGATTCTTAAACCCCTGCCGCTTTGCCAGTTTTAGACCTTGTTATAAACCTGTTATTTATCCTATTTTCCCTTACTCCTGTTGGTCCTAAGAATAGGGTTATCACTTTTCCTACATCATCTCGAACACTCCTCCAAATCCTAACAGCCTAGGATTTGCTAAAGAGCTTCCATGAAAGTTAAACTTTATTCTGTTAGACTAAGGAGGCTTCTAGTCCAAAACTACTTTGTTTTTCATAGTAGCTAAATTTGCTACTTTGTCTTACTTAGTTTGTTGTTTTGATCTTTATGCCTTCAACAATATCCTCTGTTTTCCTTGACTTTTCATTGAACAGTTTTTCATTTCCTTCCTCCCAGATTGTCCAAATAGTTGCTGCCCTAGTTATATCCATAGTAATCTTTCTCTTTCTTTTCTCTCTTAGAAAAACTTGGACTGAACTAAGTAATAAACTCATGTAGAGGGTCCCACCCGCAACCAAAGAGAGAAGAGATGTATGACCAAACACAATTTGCAAAGAAGCAAGATAATAGAAAGTGAGGGGTTGTTTCATCA